GCCACATGCCTTTCAACTGCAAAATTTGGGTTATGCACGCTCCCCCGAAGAGGAGGAAACCATCCGGAGCCTTTCAAGGTGTTCATTGAACTGCCTGTCCGTTTGCTGCTAGTCAGTCTTACTGTGTATATCAGAATGAGCCCCAACAGAAACGAAGAGCTTTCAAAAGAAGAAAGAGGATTGGAACAAACAAACAACACAACATGCATATGGCATACGGCATGGATAAACATGATGAACAATGTTGAACAGGCTACGTCCGTATACAGTACGTACATTACGTTCAATCGTTTCTGAAATTCAATTGAATCACGTCGCGTGACACGCCACTCTCTCTCTCTCTCCGAAAGATCTCGTTCCGCCGATGAAGAATCTCTCACCGGGCTCAGGTCTTGGGCGATGCCTTAGGCACTTCGGCAGAGACCAGGGTTGTGTGTTATTTTGTGTTTTTTTGGGGGTTCCTCATAAGCAAAACCACAGTCTGAATGAACAAGTTGCAAATCCACATAGTCTAGGTCGCATTGTTACCCAGCACCCTTGCCCAACACTTATGAGATAGAACATGATAGAACCAAAAAAGAGAGGGCAGGCTAGATGGCTGTTTCTCGCAAACGAGGGCTGACGGTGTTGTTCAACCAACATGGAACTCCAAAAGCGTGACCAGAGGGTATTGCCGTAATGGCCTCATGACCAGGACCAGTCGGTCAACGACGATCACCATTTATAAGCCCTTTAATTACTACCCATCATGATCCACTGGGCCCTGGTAATGGAGGCCCAAGGTGTGGCCCCAAAAATCGGATTTTCTCACTCCGTTCCGGGGAACTGGCGAAGTCGGAGGTTGAACATCGTCCAAGTTTGGCGAACTCCATGTTCGGGACGAGTCTGTAAGACAGATGTTGGCGTGGAACCCAACACAGATGGGTTCCATGTTGAGGGATTTGGTTGAATGTGTGAAAACCACATGGAACAATGTAATCTGTAAACAGGCTCCAGCTCGATCTAAAAGGGACAAGTCGGACAAGTCTCAAGCTTCCCTTTTGTCCTTTTTTTGTTCGTGATATACCCGCAGCTCATGTTTCAGATACTAATTTGGAACCCACAGCCAATCACAAGAGTTCCGCTATAATGGACAAAGGTGATTTGTTTAGATGTGTTTGGAAGCAATATGGGATCACAAGGATTTTCTTCTAATCTGTTCCACTTTGCTTCGCTTGGTCATATCCCAGTTTCGCCCTCGACAAAAGATGGCATCGAAGTCGTCACTGTGGACTATGCCGGTGTGACCTGGTCAATTCCGACATGCACTGACATTTCATGTTGACTTACACACTCTGAAAATTTAACATGGAACCTGAAAACCACGGGGTTGTAGAGGAAAATCGTTTTCCAAAGGTCCATTTTCAGGGGTGTAGCTTTGGTTGGGATTTGCTTCGGTGCGACATGGCTTGCGAGCTTTTTTGTGGCATGAACTTGACATTTGCTTCCCCAAGCAGTTGTTTGACCCGCAGAATGGCGCCCTGACTGCTAAACAATGAGTGGGCCCACATGTGCCATGGTACAGTCACCGGTCCATTTCAACCGCTCGTTGCAGGCTTGACCTCCGAGCCAGGAGCGGGTTCTCCTGTTGCGGCCGAGCGGATGGGGTTCCGATGTAGTCGCGCAGCCGGACCAGCACCATGTAACACCCAAAAGAATTGTGTTACACGGACGGTTTCCTTCTTACGATCCAATCCATTTAGAGTGTTTGAAGCTGTTAGTTCCCAGCGTCCGAAGCTTCGTCACGGCTCTCCGACGTCATCGTTTTCTCTTTCGCGGCAGGACGCAGTGAGATGGGGACGGTGGAGGCTGGGCAAATCGACCTCAGGGGGCTGGGAACAGGCGGAGACCAAGAATTGCATGCCACATGACGGCACCGTCGGCGGTTTCGCGTGATCGGCGTGATTATAAGGGTTCGCGATGGGTTCGGAGTGACCCGTGTCCGCCGAATCAAAGCCTGTTGCAGGAGGATGTGAAGGATTTCTATACTGAATCATTGTCTCTTGAAGCCGCCAAACACCAGATAGGCAGAAATTCAGACTCACTCAACCCCCAGCCTGGTAGCAGATCATCAGATTCGAGAACACCGGTCCTTTCCCCCACGACGAGCTCGATCGGCTGACCGTCCGGCGGATCGCCAGATCCGCCATTCCCAGTCCGCCGGCACCGTGGAGGCGGCGTCGGACGGTGTGTTCAACCCGCCGGGTTTTTGGGGGGAAAGAGGATCCCAAGAAGGGTAGCAAAAGAGCCCACCAGGAAGGGTCTACTTCAGTGTTTTTTCTTTAAAGGGGGTGAAGAAAGAGTGGTTACAATGGGATTGCGCCTTCCCCAATTTGATGGGTCCACCTGGAGTCCACCAGGATTGATAGAGGTTTTAGTCCCAACCTTAACGTGATGGACACGCGCGTTCGGCTCGGGTTCGTAGTGCCGGTGCTGCGTTGGCAACGCACATCCTTGAAACACCCAGGCAGGGCAGTCCAGTCACCCTGTGAGACAGGAGACACTTGATTGGAGTAGCGCCAGGAGGGTCCAATGTCCTTTTGAGGCAGTGATCCCATTGGGATACAGGCAGCTCCGTCATGCTCCATTTGTTCCGCTTTTTCTGACCAGGCCGCCGCCGAGATCGAGTCAAAGCAGGTTGGGGATGAGGAGGGGTGGATGGTGCACCTTAAGGGTCAGTTCTAGTCAGTTCAAATTACTCACTGGGTCCAGCAGGCCCTTTTTCAAAAGTTGTTTTTAAGATTGGTTTTCCAGTCTTCCTGACTGAAATTGACCGTGGCTACCCGGGCTCAAACAGATGTGGTCCGCAATGGCCTGATCAAACAGATATGTTTCGCTGACGATCGTTTGGTCGGTTTTGGGGATTTTTTTTTGGGGGGTTTTGGAGCTACCAGGTATACCCGCCACCAGGTGGAAAACATGGCAGTGAGTTTCACCATTCCTTGAGCAATTCGGCATATCCCAGCGTCACCAATTCCGCTTGTCTCACGGTCACCCGGCGTTGCTCTGCCGGTGGATTCCGCTCAGTGGGTTTTTCTTTTTGCTCACAATTCGGGTTCAGACATTGAAAGCTTGTTTTGCTCTGGCACAGGCATGCAGCTATGCCAGTGAGATTCAGGTCTGGAACGCAGCATGCAGAACAAATGATGCGAGATTCCGAGCCCCCGAGCCCCGTGTGCGAGATTTGGTGAGCGCAGCGTGAGGCTGGAGAGGCCGGCAGCGTGTTGATGGACCAGGTGAGTTGTGGATGGAAAGTCTCTTCCAGGACAGGCGCTGCCGGTCTCCGCGGTCGGAGACCGGATCCTTGCGGATGGGTGCGGATGGTTTTCCGGGCGTGGAGGGCTTGGGGGAGTGGGAGTGGATTTGGCCGGCGGGGAGGAAGTGGAAAGAAGTGGAAAGGCAAAAGAAGTATTGAAAGTGAGTCAAAGAGTCACAGTGAGTCAAAGAGTCAAAGAGTCACAGTCCATTCAATAATATGACAGCGGTTGTTGAGCAAAGACCTAAATTTGCTCAAAGATTGAGGAAACCACTCGGATTCACCGTGTTGTCTTCGAGTTCACCCAGTCGGTCAAGGAGTCAGGGTCTTCCCCGAGATCGGAAAGGACGGAGCTTTGAAAGACCAGTCGGCTCGTGCGGTGTATCAAATCCCATTCGTCTTCAAATGACCACTAAAATAATGGTTGACCTGGGTTTTCTAGTCCAAAATCCTTAGTACATGGCTCTTTGGGAAGGACCAGTACAACAGCCGTTGGAATCCCAGGGTCACACCCATTAAACTGTGGAATGGCAACGATCCGAAATGGGATCGCTTCCCTTCGGATGGATCTACAGGTCAGGCGAGAACCATTGGTGCCTCAGATCTTAGAGCGGCGAAGTCACTAAGTCGAAGAGTCTCAGATCTAAGAGCCTCTTGATCGCTAAGAAACCAAACTAGAAACCTATGGATCGGCTGAGCCGTTTCTGGTAGAGCTAAGTCTTAGATTGGTCATCATACGGCCTACCACGACACCTGGTGGGGCCGACCTTCTTGCGACTCTGTGCCGCGGTCGTTCGCAGTTTTGCCGCTCTTTTCCGGGGGTGTTGGAGAGTAGCGGGAGTGCGATCGCTGATCGGAGGTGCGGAGGGATTTTCCGCCAGCGGATCCGAAATGGGTGTGACACGGCCCATGTGATGCACCTGTTGATGCCTGTTGTGGTACCACTTGCCTCACAAGTGGTCAATGCGGCGGCGGATGTCGTAGAAACACATAGTTAACATTTCTTCAACCACATATGGGACATTCATTGTTTCTATCTCCCTGTAGAGGCTGTCCCACATGCGGCCAGGAACCTTTGGTGACATGATTGAATCAAACGATGCTGTGAGTATCGTTTCGCAAAGCTGCATGGGAGGAATTATAGATGGACGTGGTTGGTGGCTCGCGGCTTTGCAACCAGGGTGACGAAGAGATACCAGAAGCCTTTCACCATTACCAACAGCTACTTGTATATAATGGTCTTTGCCTTGGCATTCTGCCACTAGCAAACGCTTTCATCATTTGGTTTAAGTAGTTGAACCTTGTTGTAGTTTAATGGATGTTATGAAAAGACATAATTATACACCCTGCCCTAGAGTAAAACATTGACCATGGATGTGCCTAATGCTGGGCTATATGATATATAGTGCTTAACTGTACGTTCATCACATGTGAAAAAGTGTGCACAAGAGCAAGTCAGGATAATATATATATATCTACATTAAAAGATGGAAAACGTTACAGTATACATGTATGATCATGCATACTGAATGAATTGAACAAATACCGCTGCCACTTTTCTCGCTGCAAAAACATAGTGTCATTATGAGCACATACATGGATGGATAGAGGTATTCCCCGGAGATCCTCAAAGAACACACTTTGTCAATCTTTGTCATACTTTGTCCAATTCTCGAGTGCATCGTTCCAATTCCCGCAGGTCGCGATGCCGAACGCAATCCGTGCCACTGTGCGCCGCAGTGTAGCCCATGGGCACCCTCATTTACAGAGGATGTCTCGTGTGGGGAAGCCTGATTTGCAGGATGGTCGATGTATATATTTGTTTATCCGCTTGGTCTCACAATATCTCACAACATCTACTTCACCAAGATACAGTTTCTCCAAAAGTCTCCACATCTTCCACGACACCCGACCAAGCCCCCGTTTGAACAACTAGAATGTTTGCCTAGATTACTGGCGATTCTTCAGGATGTTTTAAGGGTCCAGCTGCTAAGCTATAAACATTTATCAAAACGTCCATACATGTGTATGGAATAAAAATAAGTATATCATCATAGAAGGGCAAACATGTTATATACTTGGCATACGGAAATAGAAATACATCCATGTATAGGTAAATCATATCAACTACATCCATGTATGACTTGAAGGGTCATCCCTTCGGATGCGTTTTTCGTCGTCGATTGAGGCCTTTAGCGACCTGGTGGGCGCCTTCCGACGAAGCACCCAGGCGACGAAGCACCGGTGGCTGTCGGTGAAGAAGTGGATCATGCACTGAACCCAGACAGGTGATAGATTAATATGTGTATATATACCAGCAGTCACCAAGGGGTGCAGCTTGGAGGTTAGGGGTGCCCATTAAACACCACCCTTTTGTGACTCCTGGTATATATAGATCTATAGAGATATATTAATATCAAGATAAGATATCATAATTCTACAAGATGAGAGAGGGCTCCAGTCATTGAAGATGATCATGATAGATTATGATATCTCCTTCGGGCTCCAACCCCAGGGCTCCATTGATTTAGATGAAGAGACCCTAGGGCTCCTGGCCCATATCCTCAGGTTCGGCGGATAGACGCGGACCCCCATCTTCGTTTCACGGAGCTGATAGCGAAGCCGTAGGGAAACGAGACCAACAAATCGAGGTGAAGAAGAACAATCCGAGGGAATCCTCGATGGGTCAGTTACCATCCCCTCAGAACCTCCTTTTCTTCTCAACTCCCCACGGGACTGTGACCTTAGTCTTCCACCACTCGGCAAGACTGTACTTCTGGGTGCTTGGGCCCAGTTTTTCCGATCGGTCGCTTCAGCGGTTTCGACCCGGCGGTCGTGATGGAGGGGGGAACACGAATGAGCACAACACGGAAGTGTTGGGATGGATCTTGAGATAATGAACATATCCCAAACATTCCGGACTGGAAGACTCGCATAGGTTTACCCCTGACCCCGAATACAAGTAGAACTCTTCCCATGTATGGGTGGTCTGAGATATACGTCGTTAATACTCCGTTCCACCTATTAAAACAACAAAACAAACACATGCACCCGTAAAAAGACATGAACACTCCGGTGTCGTTTTTTGTTAATAGGAGGTCCCCGAAATCGGGGGACCCGTAAACATGGAAACCTGGGAAGAGCTCAAAACCGAAAAATTGCCTGGGAAAGTTGTACCCTAATCTTCAAGCGCCATTAATACTATGGTCTTCCGGAAAGACCAAAGAGTACTACCTTGTACCGTGAATGGGCGTGAATGGGGAGAACAACATGAATTTCATGAATGATGTTTAGATTGATGGACCATCATCGCGTGAATATAGTATAGATCTTAGATCCTGTGGTAAAGAACCAAACCTTTGAAGGCCGGGTTTGAAAACAAGGTTTCCGCCGCAGCACCTTTAATTGGTGAGGCCCTCCCATATGATGGGAAGGGGAGGAGACTTTGGACCGAACAGTGCCCAAGAACAGGATTTTGCTTAGAGCATTTGGGATCTTTCTGAATGTTGGAAAAGGACGGTTGCTTTGCAAATCGTTTGTTGCAGTTTTCTCACTTCCTCGCTAATGGTTGACGGGCTTTGGGGGCAATGGCCTGCTGATGCGCAAAGCGCTTCGAAGACGTGGGAGTCTTATTTGCTAAAGTTCTTTTTCTGAACAGTCCACTCTCTAATACATGACACCTTGTTTGTTTCCAGGCCACTGTGAAGTTCTAGATCGTTCGGCTCATGGCCTTTTGGATGAAGAGCTCTATGCTGAACCTGCTGTAGGTGCCTTTGCCTTTCCCCTGTCCCACAGCATGAAATTTGGATTGTGTGCAGATGAGCCACCAAAACACTCTGCTGTACTGCAGCCATTTTTTTGCCTAGTACATTTTGTACTTAGTGCACTAGTTGGCACGATGCCCACAGTGAAGCCTGAGAAGCACCGCGTTGAACTCCTTAAGGACGAAGCTGTTTGACTTTCAAAGCTGTTTAACTGTTCAAAGGACAGATTGCACATCTTGGACAAGTGCTCCAGGAATTCTACCGGGAATTCTTCGAGGAGCCAGACTATCGGAAAACACGATTTGTAGAATGCGGTGTGGCCCTGGGGATCCCAAAGGAGAAGGTTCTCCGTGCATTGAAAGATGGAAAGGTCTCCTAGTACAAGATTGGACCCACATGTCTTGCCTGTGCACACTTCTTTTCTCTGTTCAGCTCAGATTTGCATCATCATCTATATTATCAAGAAACGAAGCCCAGGTTCCCTGCTACTTTTCGTTTGTGCGCTTGGAGGGTTCATCAGTGAATGAAGATGAGGCCTTGGTATGGGACAAACAGAACAAACAGAGTTTACTCTCCTCCATGTGAAGGTTCAGCGTGATGGCAACTATGAATTTACCTTGAACTGGTTGGCGTCCTTTGCTTCAAACCCGCCTACCCATGCTGAAGTGGTGGCCCCTTGATAGCAAATTCATTGGGGTCAAGGGAAATGCATGCATTTAAGGAATGCTCAACACATACAGTAGATCGAACAAACATACTCAATGTTTATGTTCTGAGGTGGCATTGATGGAGATTGCCGTGCAGTTCAAGCTCTTCTACCTGGCCAAGGCTAATGAACCATCCAAGGAGGATGCGGTACGATTGCAGGACCAGAAACGTGGTTGCGTGATGGACCCATGGATCAAATTGCACTGAACAAATGGTGTACACACAAATCATGTCCACTTTATTTCCAGGACTGGGCTGACAAGGAGGCAGGGCTTAACAGGGCCCTGCCCTCATATGTACATCGCAGGGTGAGCCGCACGCACAGCTGCAGGCCGGCTGACTTGGCTAAGCTTTTCATGGGGCCCAATTCCCAAAATAAAACTGGCACACCCAAGTCATGTCATGTTTGAGCTCCCAAACGATTGGTCCAATACTGGGAGCTCCAAGAGGCCCATGGTTTGCAGAAACACAAGTGTTTCATTGGAAAGAAGTTGGCCCGGTCAGTTGGCCCACAGCGCAACACCCTCGTTGGAGTGCAGGCCTAATGCTGAACGAATGCAGTCGCTCAAGAATGTTCTGCTGGCCAACTATCAGGACTACACTTTTGTCACCCATGCTGTGTACCAGGAAGGCCTAGACACGATACTTTGATGCTTTCCTAGGAAAATGGCATCCAAAAGCGGGGCCGTTCCAAGAGAAACTTTGTGAAGTGCCACTTGGTTGCCCCAAATATTTATGCTTGCCTGCATGCAGCTTTAAAAAGGTCGGTTGCTAGCCAGGCTATAAAGGTGTTACAAGTTGGATTGACCTGCATTCGCCCAGGCTCTCCGGCGAAGCCCACCTGCACTGAATCAGCACCTGCCAGTGCGGGAGCCACAACCACTGAAGTAGAGAAATCAAAAGGTGATGACCAGGTAGCTCATGATCTAGAGGAAGTGGTGTACGTAGAAGAAGAAGTTGAGGAGGAGGTTGAAACTGACGATGAGATCGTTGTATTGAACCATGAGAAAACACCCCTCATAGATATTGCTTTGCCTACGGTCGAAGAAAGCAAAGAGATCCCCAACGAGCTGGCTCCAGTGCCCCAGACACCGGATGCTCCAGAGCCAAAGAAATCAGATATCCTGGATAAGCCTACTGCTCCGGAACCCAAGAAACCAGATGTTGTGGAGTCGCCTACTGATCGTGAGCCAGAAAAACCAGAAGCTGCTCCTCCTACACCACCAGAATGCAAATGTGAAGAAGATAAAGGAACCTTTAAGGCAGGGTCTTTCTTCTCGAATGACAATTATTTACTATTGTTACGATGCACACTGAAGAAATCCCATGAACTCGATGCCAGGATTCTGCACCTGGACTTGCACCTCCAAACATCCCGGCAACTTTGGTCCAGCAAGCCGAGCTTGCTGCTGCTGCTCTTGGGAGAGGAGAAGAGAACGAAACCAACGTGGTGCAGGCGCACCATTTAACTTCAATATGCAAAAAACAACGCACCATTTAACTTCAATATGCAAAAAACAACGTACATGTCTTTAATCTTAAGTCTTAAGAGCTAGAGCTAGCTAGCCTTGTTCCAGGCACAGCGCAAAATGCGAGCTGCTGCCATTGAGACCCAAGAGCCACCAAGAGCACCGACCAAGAAAGAAAAGGCTGAGAAAGAAAAGGCTGAAAAAGCACAAGCGGAACCCAAGAAGAGGGGACGTAAACCCAAGGCCAAGGCAGAACCGAAGAAGGGCAAGGCTAGAGTACCCCTTGATGGTACTGAAGACCCTGACTACGATCCTGAACTGTCGGAAGAAGATGACCACATTAAGAATGAAGGGGACCTGGAATCTTTTTTGGACATGAAGATCGATGCCAGCAAAACAAAAGAACAGCTGAAGCCCAAACGGCAGCCTCGCCAGAAGTCGCAGAGTAGCACTGAAGCCCCAGGTGGCAACGGTGCTCCTGGAGATGCTGGTGGCTCCCTTCCAGCTGAGGGATCAGCAGTGCCTGCATGCAAGAAGCAGGAAAGCCAGAAGCAGGAAAGCGCTGAGGCCCCAGGTGGCAACGGTGCTCCTGGAGATGCTGGTGGCTCC